ATAGCGTTTGGTGTGTGTTGCTACTCCCGCTACTGTTCCGCCGGTCTCTGTGCGATGGATTCGCAAGCGGCCAACTAAGCCAATACACACAGTAAACGTGCGGTGAAAGTGTGGGAAGAAGAGGTTGGGAGTTAAAGAGTCGGTTGTCGTTGTGGTGCTGCCAATGTTGGGTGCGCTGTCCACTGGGGAGTTGAGTGGGCTGGAGATGGGGGGGGGGGGGGGTGAAGGGTCTGATAGGTGTGTCGGTACTGCGGTGAATTCTGCTGTTCTCTGCATGAATGTGGCCGAATACGACCATGCGATGTATGATCGCACGTGGACAGCGAAGGCGGATGCGGTGAGTGAATTTGGGGGACTCCTGCCATTGGTGCACCAGTCACAGAGCGATGGAATCGTAAGTGGCCGAGCATACCGATGTGTGAGGTGAATGTGCGTTCTCAATAAAGACAGGTCAGGATAAAGTCCACGTCGCTATAATCAGTCCAATCATTTTTAAATCTTGATGTGGGGTTTTTTTCACCCCTCGCTTATCATTTTCCTTAACGGACTTCTAATTCAAAAACTATGTATTGCACTTTGTACAGATTTTGCCTACCTCGTCTAAAATTCGAATGTAAATTTGTTTTTACTTGCTTTGATGGGACCCCGACGGGTCTTTAATAAAAATTATTATTATTATTGTGAGGACGTCGGTTGAGGGACCATCGTGAGAGTTTTGTTCGTTTTTGAGAGTATGAGCCTTGGTGGTCGCGGTCTTCGCCGAGGAGGTTGTTGCAGTGACGATGAAGATAGCGATGACCGACGGCGGCGGGTCACTGGGAACCGAAACATCGGCCTTGGTGGCGGTCGTCGTAGTGGATGCCGTGAGGGTTGGGGCAAGAGAGGCAGAAGAGGGAGCGGTTGGATTTGTAGGACTGTTGCTTCATTCATTCCGGAGATAACTGAAGAGGCCGGTTCGAGCCCAGAATATTTGTTGACAGCCCGTGCATGTTAGGAGGGGTTTGGGGTTGGCGCTGTGGGCCAGGTGCGCATGAGACTTGTGAGCCTTTATTTGACTTTGGTACAAACGATCCGATTGGCATCATAGATGGCTGTCCCAACCTTCACGGCTCTTGTCCAGGCTGGTCAGTACTGTGCGAAGTCTTCCTAAGTCTTCTGGTTGATATTTGGCCGCTTCAATGAATCCGTCAATGTGTCCTTGTAGCGGCGGTTTTTACCTCCTTGTTGGCGATCACCCGTGGCGACATCTCCTTTAAAGAGTTGTTTTACTAGGCCATCATCATCCATTCTCGTGAGGTGGCTGCTCCATCGTAGTTGCAGTTGACTCAGCATGGCACGAATGCTGATTCCAAAACCTCTTCGTCCGAGATCGGACATGCCACACCAGCTTCATTAGCCGTTGGAGACACCTGAAATGGAAGTGATTGAGTTCCCCTTCGCCTGTTCCCCGTAGACTGTCCAGGTCTCCGCGCCACATAGCAAATTCATCGAAATAACTTGTGTTCTGCATCCCGCTCAAGGTATCGTCGGCCTCGAACATCCGGTGAGCCGCTTCGCCATCAATTTTATTCAGCGTGAGAGTTTGTTGCCTGAGTAGGAGAAGTTGACCGCAGTCTTCATTTGAGAACCCTTGACGTGGATGCGATAAACACTGCATGCAGCATTGGGTTACGAGTAATGCATGACGTTCTTTTGCACGTGTTGGTAATCAGGCCGAATTTAGTGCAGCCGGAGGCAAGAGTTCCATGTATCGTTGTGTGTTGGTCTCTGGCACGGTGTTGAGCGCGTAGCCGTCAGTGAAAGACAGGCCGTGGATAGTCGTGATAGGAAGACGCGTTGCGACCTGCATGCGCCGGCTGTCGAGTAAATGACCGTCGGTCCTGTGGGCGATGCGGATCGGAGGGCGCTCATTGCGGTACACGTACTTCGGCATGGCAGAACACGTGAGGATGAGGGTTGGGACGAGTACGTGTTCCTGCTTCACCCCGTTGGATTCTGCAAATACTTCTGAAACGATCCTGTTGTCTGTGATACACACCATCATTCCGTCGTGGAGCTGAAGCACCATGAGCGTGACTCTCTCAGAAATGCCGAATTTCGACACTATTTTGCACAGTCTATCACGATTTACCATGTCGAAGACTTTCGCCAATTCAACGAAGGCAGTGAGGTGGTGGGTGAGCATTTCCTGACAGCAGCAGCTGACGAGCAGCGAAAATCACGTCGGCGACTACGCGGTGGCGTCGTGATTCACAAGGACTTTCCTGCAGAAGTCCCTGTTCGAGATGACCGTTGAGACGGTTGAGATAGATTCAAACGAATATCTTCCTCCGATGTCGAATAATGAGATTACCTTGTAATTATCACAGGTCTGTTGATTTCCTTTCTGTTTGTAGAGATGGACGATTTTCGCATCCCTGAAGTCCTGACAGTTCGACCATCGGATTCGATGATGTCCACCGTGTGCCCCACAGTTGCAGCAGCAATGGGAGCAGGGACGGTGACTTACGCAGGGGTTTATAGTGCCGGTAGACTTGCGTAGCATCTACCTACACTCTCTCCTCCTCCCCCGCCCGAGCCCGGTGTCAAGACAGAGTCAAGAAGGCCGGAGACGAGGGAGGCCGCAGGTGGATGGCTCGGACGGATCCTCACCTTGGCGTTCCACCACACCCCCTGGTCCACACAAAAACTGACCAGGATTTCAACCAACATAACAGAGATTTGGAGGCTGGCACGGCCGAAGCCGCACCTGGGCGTGCCGCCAACGCCTGGCTCGGATCCCACATTGTGATGGGAGTGCCATAAAGGTCACATTAAAAAGGAGCCATTGCAGCCTGACTCTCAGACCGCCTCCAGTGAAGGAGGAGGTCCGAGTTACCCCGTCAGTTGGCAACATTCCAAGCTACGGCTTTTAGCGCACCGTGATAGCTTCAAGCGCGTCCGATTGTTTATAGTGAGGAGAAAGTGCGCTGAGTCGTCGACCTCACTCTCCCTTCCCACTCCCACACCCCAGCCGCTGTCCGAGCCGGTCAGCAGACTGAAGTGGGGAATGGGCGCGGTGGCTGTCATAATCGACTGAGCATGACTGCGCGCGCCACGGCACGACGTGGCCCCCCATACACACAACACCAGGATTTCACACAACGGGGGTTGGACGGTGTGTCTCTCACTTGCGTGAGAGTGGAAGGTGATGTTTCAGCCCGTCCCCAGCCCACCAATCCGCCACTCCGCACATCAAACACACACAACGCGACGAACCGCGTAAAGCGAGAGCGGGCGTCAATCAGCAACCTTCCTATCCCTGACGCTTGACGTGTCGGGATAGTCTCGGACTCAAGTCACCCGTGCAGCCGAAGCCGCATGGGGACCGAGTCGAGATGCGGACTTCCCACTTGCGTGGGAGGTGGCAGTTGGGTGCATGAGGTGTGTGAGTGTTGATTTCTGGTGGGGTGATGGTGGTGGTGGTGATGGGGGAGGTAGGGAGTGAGTGAATGTGTGGTGTGGCCGGCGGTTGTCTACCGCAGGTCGTCGTGGATGCGCATGTGGCCGAATAGACCCATGCGATGCGTGAAGGTGCGAGGGCAGTGTGGGCAGTAGAGACGAGCTTGGCGGGTATAGGTGGGTGCTCCAGGCACTGGTTCGCCAGTCTCTGTGCGATGGATTCGCAAGTGACCGACCAGGTCGACGTGTGAGGTGAAGGTGCGGTCGCAGTGAGAGCAGGTGTAGTCCTGATCCTCATCGCTGGAGTCGGGGGAGGTGGTGGTAGTGTCGGTTGTTGCGCGCGGGACAGTCGTCTGAGCGGCCGTCGT